TGGTGTTGAATATAGAGTCGGACATCAGGAAACTCGCCCATACGCCAGTACAAAAATGGAACTCAATGATGGATTCCCAGCAGTGGGACAATTGGTTTGGAAAAGCCTGATGGAGAAAGGTAGGTTTTATCTTCTTATGTGCAGTTGCTGGATTACTGTTTTTACCTTGTCTTGTTTCCTGTTTCATCTGGTTAATAAGCAGTGTAGTAGAATGAAGGCAAGTGGCTAGTATGCCAGTTAACATAAGCCTGACAACTGCTGGCCAAGGAAGGGGAGCCCAGAAGACTATGGTCTTGAAGAGAAGAGAGAGAAAAAGGGAAAATCAAAGGCTTCAGCAAAAAGAGGGAAATAAAAAGCAGGGGTGGATATTGTGAGAAATAAAGCAATGTTTTGCTGAAGCCAGAGTGACTATGGGGGGTGAGGCTAACCCTTGTTTCTTGTTTATAGCTGCTTATTGCTCAGATGTGGTTCAGACTGTTCCTTGCACCTGCACAGATTTGTTAAGAACCAAGAGGAAAGGCTATGCTAAAGATCTGCCAAAAAGGAAGAAGGTGAGGGGAGAGTTGGGGAGGGAGACTTGGGGCAAAAGCAGGCGGTCTGGAGACAATGTAAGCCCCTGAGTACCCAGCCAATGGGAAAGAGCACAGGGACCACCCTCAACCAGGGAAGGAAAAAACGTTGCCCATTTTGGTGAGCAGTGTGTCTCCCTGGAGAGAGAGACACCTGACTCTGCCGAGTCGTTTAATAAAATAGTTTTGCTTTGATGTCTTTGTCCCCCTTCAAATTCACTAAGAAGTGAATATTTTCTCATACACAGCATCTACCAAACTTATGGCCCTACTTCTAATGCACCTTTTACATGGTGCATTAAACTGTGAACCCTATAAAACCACACACACAGGGATAAATGAGTTGAACCCTCTCATCATCAGGTGGAGTAAAGATGAACTTGAACCTGAAACTATAACCTTTGAGGAATATAATGACATTCCACTGTGCATTTTTAAACCCTGGAATCCACTATTTGACCCATTATACACACCAGATCAATATGAAAGTAATTATGCCACAAGTTTTAGCCCCCCCTGGTGTGTGCAACTTTCTAATATAACAAATGCAATTCCTAGCAATCAAAAGAACCTAATGTGAGCATGGTCCATACAAACATTACTTAAAGCCAAATTTGTAGAACCCCAAATTCACCGTGCCTCAAATACAAGACAGTTCTCTGTAATTACTCAAAGGTTATAACATGCCAAGAAAGACCAGGAGGTCCTCCAGACGCATGGTTTTCGCTTGGAGTTCAAACACTAATAAGAGATACGTGTACTTGTTGGGGATATCCCTCAAAAGGCTGGAGAAATCAAGATGAGGACTGTAACACCACCTGTAAATATCTTCTCAGCTGATGCGGAGTCCCCTGTACCCAATACCCAGTCCACAGTACCCCCATAAACACTGAACCAAAAATCACCATCCTTGATTACACAGACACAACTGACTGTAAAACTGCAAGGCACAGAGCTCCTCTTGATATGGCCTACACATGTTCAACATCAATTGTCCATATCAAAATTGATGTTGGAGTAGCACACTGGACTAAGGTGTGGAGAGTTGGAATCCCCTCTCTTTGCCCTGAATGTGTTTTTATGTTTACTGACTTGTCCAAAGGACATCACAGTGTTTTCCCTCCAGAGGCAAAACAAAGGCCAGAATAGGCAATCAAGGGAGTTGACTTTCCAAATTACTATACCACTGGACAAAAGTTACCCCTATTCCTCGAAAATTTCTTTACCCCCAATGTCACCTTAAAACGACACTGATTTGTATTAGGAGGTATTATCTAGCAATTATATTGGACAAAACACACATTGAGAAACTGTATATTCAAGTCCAGTAGGCTACTAGAATGAGCCTACAAAGCAGATTTAGTCCCTGATACGTTGTTAGGGCAGCAAGGAGTGTGTGGGATGTCAAATTTATCTCAAACTCAATGTTGCATAACCATCTACAATGCTTCATCCTCCACTGAGGAGGCACAAGATAAAATTAAGGAAATAAGTGACCACACCAGAGAACTATTTCAAGCTATACAATCACAGGAACTGGCCTCATGTCCCTCACGGCAGCCCCAGGAACCCACATGGGGAAGCTCCAGAGTAACTGTCAGTCACAAACAGCCTGGGAAAACTATAACACACCACACCTCCTGGAGCCCCTGATCCAGCTCAGATTGGCAGGGACAGTGAGGACACTGCCCCTCACCCTGGCTTGGAACCTCAGAATGGCTGGTTGGTCAGAGACCCTGCCTGGGGGAGTTGGCCATAGGGACCAGAGCAGATAAAACCAAGGGCATGTGTTTGCCTCGTGTCGCAGCCCTGCCACCTGGATATGTGAGAGCTGGTCTCCTACAAGGCTTCTGTGGTAGCTCTATGATCTGTCTCTCCCTCTTTCTCCTTCTCTCTTGTTTCTCTCTCTGCTTCTCTTTCTTTGCTCCTTTCTTGATGCTCTGGGTAGCTTGGAGCTGCAGGGATTGGATTTTCACTTAAGTGTTGCAAAGAGATTGGATCTTGACTTAGTGTTGTGGATTAGTATGTGCTGGGTCAGTATTGTGGTGGAACATTTTGTCTAGCTTGTGTAGTGCCCTTTTGAACTTTTGACAAGTTCCCTTATTTTCTCTCCTAAATTAATAAAAGTACCTCTTGGGAACAAGTCTGTGGCTTATTCTCTTCACACTATCTTGAGATAATAAAGAACCCTATATATATATTTTGAAGTAAAAGTCCTGGTTGAGCCCCTGAGCCTGCAGCTCCCAGGGCTAGAATGTTACAGGATTCCCAACCCTTCTTTGCAAATCAGCTCGGAGTCAGATCACCTGGCACAGAAAAAGGGCAAGGCCCAGTACAGCGCTTGGGGCTGAGGGTAGAGAGGTCAGAGGTCTCACTGGTGGCAGGTGCTCAGAGAGGCTTTGGGGACATGCTGGGTGTTCCAGTGCCCTGCTTCTTCCCAGCTGGACCTGCTGAGTCCCCTGTCCTCCCACTAGGCCCTTTCTTCCACTCTTGTGTTCCCCCTGGCTCTGCTGCCCATCCAGCCCAGGCTGCAGCACTGTGACCAGACCCACATGGACACAGACAAACGGATGCCTCAGGAAAGTCATCCCATAACAGAACCCTGAAAACAAGGGCTTTTTATTTGTTTTCCTTTGCTCTGAAAGCCAATAAACATTGTGACTGGCAACTATTAAAACAATGCAACGAATGCTTATAACTAATTTGTTTGAACGTGCTCCAGTCTAGAGAACACAGGACTCTATCTGTCACTAGAAGACCTTTCCAGGCACACACAGCATGAGTGTTCATTGCCTCTAGAGGCAGTTCACTCACAGCATCTCCCTGACAGAGAATTCCAGATAACTTCTTATAAATAAATATAGCTTGGAAAATAATGAATGGCTGGACACTTAAACTCGTAAACCAGCTGGATTTAAGCACAGCAAAAAATTCTGACAGTATCTCAATGTGTGTTTCTCTAAGACTGTAGTGAATGTATAGATTTATTCTCCATCAGGATACAACTTCAAGGTATATTACAGGCTTTGGATTGTCACGTTCTCAGTTGTTTTCTAAAGAGGCTTGAAACTGCTGTTAAGGGTGGGGGCATTTTTTTGTCACTGGAGTAACATGAAGTTTCTGAAATGTCAAGAAATAACGCTCGCTTAAATGCTTCAGTTTTTGATCCTCAAATTTTGATCCTCAAACACTCTCAATTCGTGTTCCTCTAATGTTAAATTTCAATGTGAAATTCAAAAAAAGAAAAAATTCCTGGAGAAAATGCTTGCAATTCACACTATCCAAAGCTACTTGGCTTTGCTGAGTTTTCTGTAATATTTCACATACATTTGATGCAAGCATCTCTGTCATGCCTTACTTATCAGGCCTTAGTTATTTTAAGTGAGACACACTTCAAATTCCCATAATTAGAAACCTAGAAAGGGGGCTTGGTGTCTTGTCAAGGCTGCAAGATTCAAGAGCACTATTTAATTCCCCTCCTCCCCCCTCCCCATAGCCAGGGAAGGAAGACAAAGGAGCTGTTTGTGTTGATGGTGCTGATGGTGCCCAGGTGGCAAGAAAGGCCAATGGGATCTGGCCTTTATGGGGAATAGTGCGGCAGCAGGACCAGGACCATCCACCTGTGCTGGGCACTGCTGAGGCACCTCCAATCTTGGGGGCAGCTCTGGGACCCCCAATTCAGGAGACAAACTGAGGGGCTAGAGCATCTCCAGGGAAGGGAACAGAGAATGGGGAAGGGTCTGGAGCACCAGGAGTGGCTGAGGGAGCTGGGGTGGCTCAGCCTGGAGAAAAGGAGGCTCAAGGGGAACCTTCCTGCTCTCTGCAAGTCCCTGACAAGAGACTGTGGCCAGGTGGGGGTTGGACTCTGCTCCCAGGAACAAGCCATTGGACCCAGAGGGCAAAGCCTCAAACTGCGCCAGCGGAGATTTAGACTGGAAATCAGGAGGAATTTCTCAGAAAGGGTGGTTAAATATTTGAATGGGCTGTCCAGGGAAGCGGTGGAGTCCCCGTCCCTAGAGGTCTTTAAGGATTAAAGACTGGACGTCTTTAATCGTCTGTACCACTCGGAGCCGTGGTCTAGCTGACTGCTGTTCAATCACAGGTTGGACCAATGACATCAGAGCTTTCTTCCAACCTGATTCCATGGATTATGGAATTTTAACGGAGCTACACTTCAAATCCCCCTAAACAGAAATCCAGATAGTGTGCCTAACAGTTATTCAACGCTGCGAGGTTTAACTGCACCGTGTAATTTCCTCTCCCCGCTCGCCCGCCCCTCCTCCTCACCGCCAACGTGGCACTAACCGCGTCCCGCCCGCGCCGCCATTTGACGCGTGAGGAGCGAACCACGCACTGGGCGCGGGGTAGGAGCGAACTCCCCCGCGTGGGGCCGATGGACTCGTCGGCGCCACGGGGCCGCTGCAGACGTGGCAGGGAGGGGTGGCGCGGGGCCTGCTGGGAGCTGTAGTCCCCGGCAGCGCCGGGGACATTCCTTCATCCCTGGGACGGGAAAGGCCGCGAACGGACGGGCCGGAATAGAGGTGATTAAGGCTCGGTGAGGGCGTTTGCGGCGGCGGGAGGAGGTACCGCGTTGTGACCCGTCGAGGCCGCCGGCGGGGAGGAGCGGGCAGAGGGCTGGGCCAGGCGGTGCCGGGGTCCGCGCCGGCTGCGGGAGGTGCGGGGTGTGTGGGGCTCCTTCCTCGTGTCCTGTCCTGGCTCGTCCTTCCAGCGGCTCCTGCGCTCCCCCTGCGGACACCGCCGTGCTCCGAGGAGAGGTGAGGGTCAGGGAGAGTTCCGGCGGGATTGTCCCGGTGCCTCGCTGGGTCCCGTGTGTCGACCTGCCTCTGCCTCCCACCGAGCTTCCTCCGGGCTCTAGAGGTGTTTGGGACCTCAGGGCTCTGCTTTCAGCGAGGAACGGGAGTGTTGGTCCTGCTAAACCCCCTGTGGTTTCATCCCAAATTTGCTTGACTGGCAGTGGGAATCCTCGCCCTTGGGAATCTCTTAATGTCGTATAGAAGCGGTGCTTCAGGAGGTTTATTACTTCTTTCAGTGTCGCTGGAGGTATTATTTGCCCCTTTTTAAGATTGTTTTTATTGTCAGATTAAAAAAAAAACACATTATTTTTTTGGGGGGAAACACCTCTGAAAGTGGTGGAGCTGTTGCATCCCGTCCCATGATATCCATGTCCCGAATATGATAGCAGTGTGTGTGTGATTGGTGCAGATTGTTGGGGTGTACAGGTGGCAGTTCCTCTGATGGCATTATTTGATGGTGTTAGGTAGTTGTATGTGTAGATCAGTGGTTCTCCCACTGTGTTCGTCAGTGGTCTGTGAGCTTTTTGATGCTTAAATATTTGGTAATGGGGGGTGGTGGTCTGGTGCAAACCCTGAGGGTTGGCAGTGGCACAGAGAATGTGTGAAAAAAAATAATTCTAATTCCAATAATTCTGATAAGGTTAGGAAGCTTTTAGGCCTGCAAGAGTCACAAAGCAAGTCTAATCCTTACTGTCACACCAGGTGTTTCCAGCGGTCTTGGTCTGTGTTAGGTCAGGCACACTGGGTTCTGGCTGGTGAACAGACTTCTTTCTTTGCATTTGTTTTTGGGTTTTTTAAAGGTGAAAAGGAAATGAAAGTGTTGTGATTAACATTATGCTATGAATATAGAATCATAGGATGGTTTGGATTGGAAGGGACCTTAAAGACCATCCAGTCCCATCCCCTGCCATGGGCAGGGTCACCTTCCACTATCCGAGGTTGCCCCAGCCAGGCCTTGTACACTTCCAGGGATGGGGCAGCCACAGCTTCTCTGGGCAACCTGTGCCAGGGCCTCACCACCCTCACAGGGAAGAACTTTCTTTCTCCTAAGATCTGATCTAAACCAACTTTCTTTCAGTTTGAATATTTTTCACTATCTGCTGATAAATACATCACATTCTGCATTGAACTGTGTTGCAAAACAATATATAATCAATAAATTCCACAATATTTTTTCTTGTGATTTTCTAGCTCATGTCAAAGCTCTGAAGTGCCAGTGTTTACTTGGATGAAGCTCAATTTAAACACAGCCCCAAAATAAAGAGTGCACAGCAGTGTTTACCTGCTGCAATCAGCTTCGTTATCAGCTGGAGAAAAGTTGACTTAGCTTCAGTTCTCTACTCTAAAGCATTAATCAGGAAAACTTATGTTACGTAGCACTGCTGAGACCAGCTCAATTTCAAGCCGAGGGATGAACTCACACACAGGTGCATTGTGACATCAGTAAGAATCCAAATACTCAGAAAATATGCAACAGGTATAGAGAGTTCTGGGGATTTGGTTTGGGTTTTTTTAATTTGTTTTGTTGGTTTGTTTTTTTCCCCTCTGTTTACGGCTTTGGACTTTGGAACAAGTCATTTTAACACAAGGTGATTAAATGGATGATCCCTCTCTGCCCTTCCTTTGGCTTTGGTGAGACTTTGTGTGCCCTCAGGGTTTGTCTGTGTTCTACAGATCAGATGCTGAAAGAAAGTTTGTCCCTGACTTTGTGCTCACCCTTTCTAAAGCAGAAAAAACAACCTGAGGGATTTTGCAGGTGAAACTTAACATACAATCCAGCTCTGTTTTGGTTTGATTTTTTAAAAGAGAGTTGTCGTTTTGTTTGATGTCAGCATCACTCCATCTCTGACAGCTGAAGATGTTTCTTCTGTTGTTTCGTGAGGAGTTTTTATTAGCAGAAGCACTTACTGAAATAGAGAAAAGGGTTAATTAAAGATGACTGAAAATACAACCTCATTATAAATTCTCAAGTATGGTTGATTTCTAGATACTGTGTTTTTATCCATGTGAAATTTGCTAATCTCCATTTGTAAGTAATCTTATCATTAGCTGTGAATTTCTATATTTTAGAGTAATAACCTGAAGAATGCTTTTGAAGTGGTTATGTCATTAAGATTATTGCAAAACATTAGCACAAATGTAATTACTTCCTATTAAACTAAAGTGAAAAGATGAATAATTTGCCAGTTAAGCCTTTTAGTCTCTAAATCAAATTATTTCATTCCTGCTTTTTAACACGAGCCCTGTCAAGATTTTCAATCAGAGCTTTACTCTCATTTTCTGTTGAGTACACAAAAACCTTGCATTTTGGAATTAGGTTAATGGCTGAAATGTGGTTTTAGGTTAATGCATGAGGTTCAGCTGGTGAAAATCAGTAAAAGTAGTTACCAGTTAACTAGGGATAGAGAGGTGGGTTTATTTTCTTTGTGTTATGTGAGAGTTTAACATCATCTCTATAATGTCTTCATTAATACTGAAAAGCTTACTTTTTTTAACCAAATAATTGATGAAAGCCTAAAAAATTCATGCTTCTACTTCTTAAAGGGGTTATTTTAAGGATGACTGGGATTATGGTTTTTCTGTATTTCTCTTTTCCATATCCCTTCTTTTTTACTGCCATGTAAGCATAACATAAGATTTTCTCCTACCAAAACATGGTGAGATGGTTAAATTTGTGAAATCAGTTTATCATCACAAATCACTAGATGGCAGTACTGATGTTATTTTCACCTAATTCCGCGTGCTTCACTGTGCCTGTCTCGGGATTTCTCCTTTATAGGTTTGCAAGGAGGCACAAAAGTCACTTCCTTCAGAAGTTAGGCTGACTTTTCCTGTTTTCAGGTCCTACTTGTTGAAAATCATGTGTTTATAGCTTGGGTTATGAAGAAATATTGCTATTACTTCTGTTTTTTCCCTAAATCACTAAAAGACAGTTACAGTTACACCTGTTTTCTTCTTTGATTTCGCATATTCCCATGTCTTGTCTTGTCGGGTTTTTTTTAATTATTTACCTTTTTTCATGCAGCACATGCAAACTACAACTGACTTAAGTTGAGAAATCAGTATACAGAAAGCTGTTATTTGTGCAGGCTTCTTACTAGTCAAGGCTTAATTTAAGTCAGTTCCATTGTAATTGTATTTTAGCAACTGACATGATTTCTGCACATTTGGGATTACTGATTCTGTTTTTCACCTTTCTCATTGCTAAACTAATTGTGAAAAGCAACTACAGAGTAATTTACCTTTCTACTAATTCCTGATTTTTCAGATGTGACTCAGCCGACTTCTCATGGGTTGCCCCTTCTCTCTCACCCCTGCCCAACTAGTGTAATAACTTTCTGAAGCTTTACATCATCGCTGCACAGAGCTGATCTGTGCAACTTTTTCAGTCATTCTGCATGGCCACAGAATTTATTTTAAGTGGGAAGCACCTCTCAGCAGTTTTTTAATCATGGCATTAGGTGTAATCAAGCAGCAGATTAAAAGAGCCTTGATAAAACATTCCTAGGTTTTGGTCAGTGATTCTTTTAATTGCACAGTGGATAATTCTTCCTTGCTTCACAGTGTCTAATTGGAAGAAGAATGACTTCAAAAATACCTTTGTGTGCAGGAATGTAAACTTCTGTAGATTGATTAAAATAAAGAATCTTAATACTTTAAGTTCTTCTGCTTGGTGAAGTTTAATGAAAGACTTTGCTATTCCTTTCTAAGGGGTGGTGAGATGTACTCATTCTGCAAGGACAGTCTATTCCCCACCAAACAATTATTGACCCTTTCATCCCATCTGAAAAAAAGATGTTAAATGAATTAGAGATCCTCACAACCTAAAATCCATCTGTCATGAGATGAGAGTTTTCTTGGAATGCTGCACATAAGCCATGTTTACTTTCTTTCTGAGGTTGGTCTCAAGCTTTTAATCTTAAATCACTTAATGCAAATTACACTGGTTTATCAGAGGGACTGTTGTTTCTCCTGTGTGATTTTGATGCTTTCATTTGTTTTTTAAACTCTTTGTGCACCTGTCAAGATTGACATTGACATCCTCCTTTCTGGATTTCTCAGTATGGTAATAACAGTAACTTTTCCTCCGTATTAGATTAGGAGTTGTATATACATTTAAAACAACAGTGATGTATTGAGGGACTTTTTGGTTTGGTTTGTTTTTTTTTAAGAGAGGAAAACCCCTGTATTTTTGTAAATGGAGTTCTGATTTAATGGATGTGGTGGAAAATAGACAGGTTTTAAGCCTGTCTATTTTTCATATATATAATTCCTTTATATAGGATTTTTATTTCATTAAAACTTCCTTAAAAACTGCTGCCTCAGGGAGTGGTGCAAATCATCACTGTCTAATTTACCAGACTGGTGAGGAAGCAGGGTTTTTGGTAAGCTACCTCTGCACCGAAGAACAAAAATCAACTGGTGTTCATGAAAATCTTAATTTTGATCTCTCCTTTTCTTCTGAGGCCTTGTACTTTAATTTAGGATTGTTGAATAAGGCATATAGCTCTACTTTTCTAGAAATAATGTATTCTAAAGGTTTACCCAGCTGTGTTAAAAGGTACTTCCAATGTAAACTGACCTTCACAATAAAACCCAAAGCTTTCAATTAACTTTCACTTCTAATAACATCACCAGGGAAGTGTGGTATTTGGATTTTACAGGCATAGTCTGTACTGGAAAACTTGTTCAGTATAAATTAATTTTGCTGTAATTTTATTCATGCTGGAAGTAAAAGGTCCTGATTTGGGTTACTACAGCTCAACAATGCAGCAAAATACTACCCCATAGTTAAGTTATTCTTGGGATATGGGTCTTACGATATGTAATTACTTTTGTGTTTTTACTCTTTTAAGTTGAAAGCAGTAGCTGGGCATGCACAGTAAGGTTTTTAGAAAGAGGCCTGGAGTTTGAGGTATTATCACAGTCCTAAAAATAAAGGGAAGGTACAGGAGAAATGAGACATGATGGATAATTGTGTCCTTGAGATAAGTTAATTTTTTTTCCAGAGTTAGTATTTGAGCTACTTGCTTAGTTCATGGATGTAAATAACTGTGTTGTGGCCTTTGCATTCTAATTTAAAATTTTTCCCCCTTATTTCTTAAGATACTTTTGTTTTTTCCCTCACAGCTTTGTGTAGCTGAAGGAAAATGATGGAAGAGAGTGGAATAGAGACAACTCCACCTGGCACGCCCCCACCAAGCTCAGCAGGGGCTGCTGCTGCTGCAGCACCTGTCTCATTAGGTACAGAAACATTTATTCATGTCTTTTGAAGCACTACAATTAATCCAAAACCATTGCAATTAGCATAATTACAGTTCTCTTCTCCAGGCTACTTGGAAGAATTTAAGTTGTTTTTTAATCATGGAAGTGTGCTCCTTCTCTTACATACATCTGACACAGAGAATATTTTAAACATTTTCTAATTCTTGAAACTATTTTATGAAGTCACTTGTGGTTTTTTTAAGGATACAGGGCCAGGGAAATAATACCTTCCACTACAGTGCGCAGTTAGATGAGCAGCATAGTAGGGAGTTAAAAACAAAACAGATTTACAGTCCTGTAGAGGATGCTGGTAAACCTTGGATTTTAGTATTCATAGACTCCTAGACTGGTTTGGATTAGGAAGGACCTTAAAAGTCATCTGGGAATGGGTAAGGATACTTTCCGCCAGACCGGGTTGCTCCAAGCCCCGTCCAACCTGGCCTTGAACACTTCCAGGGATGGGGCAGCCACAGCTTCTCTGAGCAACCTGTGCCACGGCCTCACCACCCTCACAGGGAAGAATCTCTTCCTAATATCTGATCTAAACCTGCCCTCATTCAGTTTATAGTCATCAGCCTTGGCCCTATCCCTACATGTCCATGTCAAAAGTCCTTCTCCAGTCTCCTTTAGGTTCTGGAAGGTGCTATAAGGTCTCCCTTATTGTGGCTGGTAGTCAAAGCATTTTATCTGATTTTGCAAGATTCCGAACACCATATTTGAATACCAGATACTTAATTTTTTGGCACATTTGGTATTGTTGAGTCAGACTGGTGCAGTGGATTGCAGGGGGTGTGCAAGGCAATTCACTGGGGCATGAGAAGGAAACACTAGAACTGTTCCCTCTTTTCCTATCACTGTCTGCCCATGTAAAAAGTCACTCCCCCTCTTTCTTAGAAGCCCTCCCTCAAGTACTGAAAGGCTCCTATAAAGTCTCCCCAGAACCTTCCCTTTTCCAGGCTGAACATCTACAACCCTCTCAGACTGTCTCTATAGGAGACTAAAATGGATTTGTCAGCAAACACTTTTGGAAGATGCATAGAAAACATTGGTGAAGACTTAAAGGAACAAGTATAGAACAAATTACATTGGGGGCTTGCTGTACAGTTTCATGGAAGTCCATATGTTCCCAGTGTGTCTAAGTTCAGTTTCAAAATATACAAATAATGTATTGTCAAACACTGTAGGAGGAATATGCTGAGAAAATCTGCCCTCAACAATAGGACTGCAATAATAAAAACAATGTTTTTATTTAAACTGTGGAATTGTAACCTCTGATGGAGAAGTTGCTTTTAACTGGGATAAAAATGGGTTCTGGAATAAGATTGCAGAGATACCATCACACATGAAACATATTCACTGCCTCCATTCCTAGGGAAGCCATTGCAGCAAAGAAACTGGAGCCAGAAGTGCACGAAGTGTTACGGGATGTCACCAATGTTGTTAATTTTATAGAAATGGCCTTTAAGTAGTAGATTTTTTTACAGTATTTTGTAATGAGATGGGGGGTGACTGTGAAATACTTTTTTCATATTGCAGAATTTGCTGGTCACCATTGGCAAGGTGTTGTAGAAGAGTTGTTGAACTCAATGTTGACATGAACTTTTTTTTTTTTACAAAAAGAAGAGTGTCCCAGATTTGCTGATGCTTTCTGTGATGACAAGGGGCTTTCAGCAGTGTGCTGCCTAGCAGATATTTTAAAAAAAATGCACTTATAGTTTGTCCTTTCAAGGTAAAGGTGGCATTTTAACAAGGAGTGTTATAGGAACTACTTTTGTAAGAAAGTCATGCTTTTGAGAAAGCACTTTGAAAACTGATATTTGGAAATGTTCCCATCATTATACATTCCTGTTGCCAAAACCAGTGCAAGTGTTCCATAAAAACTGTCAGATCTGTACACTTAAACTTGGAATGAGAATTTCCTGATCTGTGTAAACCTCTTCCAAACAGTTTCAGTGGAATTTGAACCCACTTGTTAAAAATATGAAAATGCAGCATGTTCATTTTGCAAGAACAATCAATTGACGTCAGGGAAGATGAAAGTTTTTCTGCCTGCATTTCAAGGAAAACCTGTGCATGATTGATAAGTGGGAGTGGAAAATGAAATAGTAAGATATAGCAAACACAACCAATGATGCAGTTCTTCCATTTTGATCAATTTGAGGTATCTTTTCCAGCTATGGTGGCCCTTAAAGCCAAGTATCAAAATAGTCTGAACACAGAACCTTCAAATTGCTGCATCATGAGGTGTTAAACCAAGATGTAAAAATTATTGAGGTTTCTTCAGTGGCACTGCTCACTCTAAAAAGCTGCTATCAATAATTGTATTATATAGCACATTAATAATTATTAATTTATTATTATATTGAAAGTATATTAATAAAAGAATTTTGAGTGGAAGCAGAAGAGTTTTTGTACTGTTAAAATTTTTTCATTCATCTTTATCTCATCCTTTTTACATTTTTGTTGTGTATGTTTTGTAACATATATAACATACTAGTGCAGTGGTACATGTAAATAATTTATAAATAAATAAATTTACATGGGGAAGTGCTCAAAATTTTTTTACCGATAGGTGTTTGTGGTAAAGTTTGGAAACCACAGTGATTTGCTGATTGTGATTGGTGTTTAAGCTGAGACCAGTAAGCTGCTTAAGCTGATCCAACATCTTACTGCTATCAAAAATGGTAATTTCTGGTTTTCTGCCTTAGTTTATTCTTGAAGATGAGAGTGTCCTGCGTTGTTGATAAGCAGTCACTCAGAAAGAACAGTACTAGCTAGAAAATTGGGGCAGATTTCAGCTGCTCTAAGTTCAGTAGTCAAATGTTGACTTATTTTTTTAAGCTTGTGACAAATAGGGTCATGCAAGAAAAAGAGATGTGTCTTACAAAGATTTTGTCACCAAAGGTTGAGTGCAATTGGTGGTGTGTGAAAAGTCAAGCAAGACTAAAATTAGCTTTGAAGGGGGAAGAAAAACAGACCAGGTCAAAATTTACTTGTGAAGTAACTGAAGGCTTAGCATTTCTAAAATTATTTTTTTTCTCTTTTTTTCCCCAGCTTTGTCCAGTCCCCTTTCTACACCAGGCATGTCCTCTTCTCCTGCATATTCACCATCCTTGCCAGCTGGATTGTCTCCAATTCCTCCTCCTCCTCCTCCTCCTCCTCCTCCTCCTCCTCTGACTTCGGCTTCTCTCCCACCTGTGCCTTTTGCAACGATTTCTTCTCTTGCACCATCTCAAAGTCCTGCCCTACCTCTTGCTTCCCCTTTAACCTTTAGTACCCCCACGTCCCAGTTCTCTGCTCCTCCTGCCGTCAAGTTTACTGCTAGCCCTGGTCTTCCTGCACCTCCCACTGGTCCCCCCATTTCAGGTTTTTCCATGTCCTCAACCTATGATATCACCAGGGGTCATGCTGGTCGAGCACCGCAGAGCCCACTGATGCCTTCATTTTCTGCAACTCCAGTCACAGGTAACTCCCCGTTTATATGATTTCCTGTTTGTGAGACAGGATGAGTGGCCTCCTGGGTGGCTTTTTTTACACCACTCCGCTACTTCAGCTTCTTTATAATTATAGGTACACTTAATTAGCATAGTTGCACTCAGGAGAAGGGATAATAGCCTTTAAAATACAGTCATGGTCCAGGACAGCAAGTCCATGTTAGTGGTGTTCTGGTAGTGTTCAAGTTCACAGAGAAATCTTTAAAAACTTTATTTTTTGTTAACTTGCACAGGAAAGCCTTGCTGAACATACATACATAGCTTTTGTGTAGCTCAGAGAGCCACCTTCACCTATTTTATTTCCCCCGAATGGTATATCTCAGTCTGTAGTTTCATAATTTTCAGGGTTTTGTTCTCAAAATCTATGTGCAACAAGCCCTACGTCGCATGACAGCAGTCTTTTTTATTGTTTCCAGTCACTAAATTGCATTAGGACAGCTGAAAACACATACCTTCCATGAAAACAGTTGCTGTTGTTGCTGAACTGATGTCATTTTAAGCTAGTGGAGTGGAATGGAAACTTGACTCTCAGCTGCATTTGGGCCAGGCTTTTACTGTTATTGGTGATACCTCATTTAAGTAGTCCGTATTAGGAAAATGTCTAAAAAGAGCTATCAGTTGTGCAGTGTAAAATAAAAATAACTCTTGATTAAGGCTAGGTTGGAAAATCAGTTGGAAATGGGCAAAGGCTCATGCTTTATTTTTTTACTCTTTAGTTTCTTTTGTTTTCCTTTGAAATATGTAAACCTTTCTCCTTTTTCTACTGGTACTAATTTCTACCAACCAGTGTTAGAAAATTTCCTACTTCTCTTATTGTATGAGAACATTCCTATCTCTTTGTTTAGAGAGTAACACCTACTGCTCTCTTTGCTCTACGGAGGGTTTATTTTGACAATTTGAAAACAATTAAAAGAACAACTTTTAAATTAACCTGATAAGAAAAAAAAATCATTGTTTAACTTTGTACGTAATGTACAGCAGTCTCAGTTCTTTCAGAAGATATTGTTGAAGTAATTTTTAACAAGCAGAATTGTTCTGAGACCTTCAAGAAGTGAAGTGAATCAGCCCAGTATTCTTCTCTTCTTCCTGCAGTTTTCCTGTCAAACAATTGCACATTGCTACAATATAACAAATTAACTGCAGTAAAATAAGTGAACACTTGTATTTTATTTGTCCCTCTTAGGAGGTGTTTTGGCTGATCCCATCACTCAACAAGCAACTTTCTCATCATCTTTGTCTCCTGGGGTTGGCTCTGCAATCACTTTTCCTGAGGAGCATGAAGACCCCAGAGTATCTACTGCCCATGGTGGAGCACCTGCTGGAGGGCTGTGGGGGTTTATAAAGGTATGGGAGTTTGTCTGTTACCTTCATGAGGAATTACCATTTTTTACTGACTATAATAAGATGTATCTTATTTTTTAAATACTCATTGCTACAAATCCTGTTTATTTTCCAGTCTCATGTGCAAGGTGGCTGTTTGTGATAGTGGTGTTTGCTGAAACTATGCTTTTGCTCTTCCTCTGTATAGAAGAGAAGGGATTAGACAAATGCAGGTGTTCTAGGTTAATTTTAGTCCTGTGTTAGGAACATATCTATCAGGTTCTGTCACATGTTCTTAATTCAGATGAAGTTTTAGAACCTCTGAAAGACCTGAAAAGTAACTTTTACTTCACAGTGACTGAATGCAGAAGAAGATGGTCTGGTTACCTCACCTGAACGCTTTGCATATCACATTTATAATTTCCTAATTAACTGAGTTTGATTTCTATGGGATGCAAACCATGCTTGTTCTGTAACAAATAAGATATTCTGTAACAGGTCTTTTTTCAAAGACAGACAAATTGCGTATTTTCTCAATCACAAAGAAGTGTCTAAGATACTTTGTAAGATTATTCTGCTAGAAGGCATGGAATATATAGTGCAGAACAGATTCTCCTTGTGGTGCAATCTAATCAGACAGACGAAATAAGCAGCGACATCAACTAGTAGAATATCATTAGCCTGTAACCTGTTTGGAGCTGTAACAGATGCTACATGTAAGTAGCATCATGAAGATTGTGGGGAAAAAAACTATCCTCAAGAGCAACACCATTTTCTGTACTGTCTCATACTAAACGTGAAAGAATCAAGTTTAATGTCCCAGCAGGGTTGCAGAGTTTTCAAGGGAGTTGCAAGCCCTCTTGAACATGAAAAGCTGGGAGGAAAAGTTGTGTGTGACATGGCAAACTGAGCCCTCCCCTACTATTGAATTACACAGTGATATGGTCTTGAAGAGCAAGATTAATTCCCCATCAGTACAGCAAGAGCAGAGTTGTTATGCTGCCCTTTTCAAGGAGAGATGTCTTCTTATGATCATAAAAACACGTCTTCTTTCATCCTTTAAATATCAATGTCCTCCTTTCAGTCATTACATTCGTCTTAATATTTGCAGTTTTCCAGAAGGGAATATTTTACTTGTGACATGATTCTGTAGCTCTTTTTAGAGTTCCAGAGCTTTCAATTGCAAATCAATTGGAAAACCAATCTCTTCCACACTGGTGTTATCTAGTGTTGCTACTAGGATCCAGAAGGTGTCCTGTTTGTATTTATGGAGAAGGTCAGTATTATTGACTTCAATAATGAAGCCCAGATTGTGGTTGAAGTATGAAGTGTTCCATGTGCTTTGCGTGTTCAGTGACCTCTTCTTGAGAATTTCCCAGGTGAATGAGGAAAGAATGAAGAATTGTTAACTACACTGAAAGCACCAAGTTCTTGATATATGTAAGGACACCTCAGTCTGTGTTTTTTAAAGGTCAGACAGAATATGGGACTTAAACTGGTAGTTATTACAGAAATGCATCTGGAATTCCCTACTGAAGAGCTTAGACAATAGGTGCAGCAGTTATCTTTAATTCTGTTCTTGAAATAGTTTGAAATACCCTTTTTCCCTTGGTATTCTTAAGAAATCATACACTGTTCTTCCAGATTTCCTTCAAGCTAGATAATACCCCAAACTATGACAATAATCTAAAATTGACAAGTTAATGATCTAGAATCAAATGAGATTGTGTCAGCTCCAAGATTGATTTCTACCTAATGTATCAGAGGCAAAGTTGCATACTACTGCAGTCATTGCACCTGACACCTTACAGGTTTGACTGTTTGAGCAATGAAGGCACCCAGGACCTGAATTTTCAACTTTTATTTTGTGCACTGCTTACATGGAAGATCCTCCATTTGAGCAATCTGGGTTTATGTTGCCATAGAATTGGCTGATAGGAATTTCAAGTTTAACTGCATTGTAGTTCACAGTATGGTGGTAAATTCATGTTTTACATTGGTATAAAAGTGTGAATTATTTCTCCCTGTTTGTGCTTGGCAGATGAACACATTAAGGCATCTTCCATAGGTAGAAGCTGCTCAGGAACCATCTCTATAATGACTTTGTGTTAGTTAGGCAGCCAGGCTGCTAATTGGAGAAGCACTGCTTGACTTTGCAAGATAATGGGGCTGTTTCTGCATTAATGCAGAAGATAATATGTAAACTTCCTGGTGTAACTGAAAAGCTGTGATAGTCATATTATGTAGTGTTTGTGCTGAGTTATGACATACAACAAGCCATTAAAAAGTGTAATGGTTAGAAACATACAAAGCAGCTTAGTATTTTTTGTTTCTTTTTAACTGTAACATTTTGAATTTCTTGAAGGGAGGGAAAGAAAACAGAAGATAATATGGAAATGTATTTGCTTAAATTTAGGGTGTAGCTGAGAATCCCATGGTGAAGTCTGTTCTTGATAAAACCAAACATTCAGTGGAGACCATGATCACAACACTGGATCCTGGCATGGTTCCCTATATCAGTAAGTGTTTATGACAAACCATTGGATGTTGCATATAAATGCCAGAGAAGTCAATATAATAGCATACTACTTTTATACTTGAAATGTAAAAGTATTTCAATTACATCTTGAAAATTAACAGGAAGGATAAGCACTGTGGTATTCACCATTTTTTTATTTTACTGGATTCCATTGCATGTCACATGCAAGCTGACCTGAGATTCCTACTTTGTTGAAATGGGGAAGCAAAATACATCATTTGTACAGGGTGATGGTGTGGTTTTGTTTTTTTGACCTGGCTTTTTTCTCCTTCTAGCAGTGTGATAAGCAGTCCTCCTCCTTAGGTGTGCCAGTACTGCCCTTGGTCTGCATATAAATGAAGCTGGTCAGGAAACTACCAAGACTGAGAAGAAACCATTAAAATGATTTTTTTTTAAATTTTCTTTTTCTGAGATTTTTTTTTTCAGCTGGACCTGTTCTGTGACCCAGTAACTACATTGCTACAGTGCAAAGCTACAGTAAATGTTGAGTATATACAGTTTGGCAAACTATTTAAGCTTTATGTTGCAGTCATGACTGTCCCTTTGTAATATGTCAGTATCCTGTGTAGTTTGACACAGTATGTACTGACAGATCAACTTTATTTAGAGAATGAATTATTTCTAATAAAATGCTTTGCTTGTAAGATTCAGGTCTAGTAAGCTAATTCAGTAGTTATCTCAAAGTTCTCTAAAGTCCTGTTGGAAGGAAAAGCATCTGTATGCATCTTGGACAACTTGGACATCTATCTGCTGCATTGTTTTTGTAGTTGCAGTTGTGGAAACAGGGCAGAGATTCATATGTACTTCCTTGTAAAAATGTATTCTGGCATCAACAAAAACCATGTGCCCAACAACAAATGGCCCCACTTCTCTCTGCTCTCTCTCCATTACTGCAGTGCCCAAGAAATGTGATCTTCCTCATGCCAAAACCTGACATTACCAAAGCTTCTGGATGAGGTGGTTGAAATTATTTTTTTTTCATCTAAGCAAATAGCATTTCTGTAGTCTCTTTCTTGAAAAGAGCTGAACTGTTTTCATTGGCACATTGTGAAGATGTCATCTGAGTCATGCGCCTGGAATAGGCAATTTCTGTCTGCCTAGGAAACGGTCACCCTGTAAGCATAAACATCAATGCTTTTATAACAAAAGATGTCAGGGAATCTTAAATTGAGTGTGTAAATGTTATTTCAGTTTATAATACACAGTGAAATTTCACAGTCAAGTGTCAGAGCTTAACTTGATGTGACAATTCTGTCCCTGATTTTACCAGGGTATACCTAGTTCTTATATTTTAGATTTTAGTATTTCCATATTGCCCTAATGTGTGGCAGATGTTATCACAAATGTTTTCATTTAATGCATGTAATATCCTTGTTTCTCTTTTGTAGTAGTATCTGTGATGAACAAAGATATGCTTTTGCTATTTGATGATCCTTAATACAAAAGAACATATTCTGTATTCTCCATCTAAACATGGGGCACAGTTACTGTTCTTAGTGTTGTTATGCAGTAATTTACTAGATCTGTTATGGATTAGTTTTTAGCTTCATTAGAAACTCTTTAACAGTATTTCTGTTCCTGGGCGCTCAAACAAGGCTAACTTCAGTAAATACCTGCAGTCAATTTTAAGCACTTGTTTAATTATATTAAATTCATTTGTATCCAGAAGGAATCCATGAAAAAATATACTCTCAATTATTTTTTAATCCAGTAGTTAACCAGTGTTTAAAACAATTGCCCGAAGTTCAGTGATGTGTACGTTCAATTCCATTCAGTAAAGCAATTGATAAATAAAGTTAAAAAATTACCCCCCAAAAACCCGAAATAGTATGTTTTACTACTGTTCTGGCATATCTCTGGTGATTCTTCATAAAAAATAAGACGATTCCTGTAACTGAGATCTGCTGCGTAATATGAGCAAAAGAGTAAATTGTTCTTTTCTTTGAAATTTAAGCTTTGGGTTTACCATTATCACTAGGGGAACTTTTGCTGTGATAGACAGATGTGAGGTATGATTGAGCTCGTCAGTCTTTTGTAGTAGTTTATGATTTCTTTTAATTCATGAATTGCTTTGTTTTACTCTAAAAAAGCTTAGCGAAAACTCCTGCTTCTTTATGGAGATACCCCCCGCTGGAAAACACACAGAACTGTATGCAAGTTTTTGGTTCTATAGATATTTAGCATCAAAAAACAGGATAAAGCATTAGGGAGGAAGACAAGTTTACACCCCAAGGGCAACTAAAAAGTAATGTGAGCCTTTTTTTAAAAAATGATGTAATTTGACAGCTGTTCACTGGATTTTATGTTCTTGATCCCTTTCATAAGGAAGAGTTTGTGTGTGACACCAGCATTCCTTACTGCTTCCCAGAACACCAACACGTTCTTAGAAATGGATGTCAGTTTTCCTAAATCTCTATAAATTGTCATCTTATATGGGTGTTCTGGTTTCTTTCAGGTGCTGAACAACCATCAGTTCCTGTTGTCTCTCTTTCATCCATGCTTCACTTACCTATTCATCTTTTACTTCCTAGCTTAAGTTACTTCTGCTTCATAAAATAACTATTGTACAGTGCATGAGAAAGAGGAGAGCAGCTGAAAAATACTGTTGAGATGGAGAATGTATTTGAACTGTCTAATAATGGGAATGAGGAAAAATACATGCACATGTGTATTTTACAGATTACAAAATTATTTTACAGGAACTGGGGGAGAACTGGACATAGTGGTCACTTCTAATAAAGAGGTAAAAGTGGCAGCAATTCGGGATGCCTTTCAAGAAGTCTTTGGAATGGCTATTGTTACTGGAGAGGCTGCACAGTCTAACATTGCACCCCAACCTGTGGGCTATGCTGCAGGTTTAAGGGTAAGTTGATATGTAACAGTACCCAAGTACCACCAACACAGAGATTCACCCAGAAGAATCTCATTTTCCGTGAAGTGGAAGTCAGTTTGGGGGATAGGTAAACATTTTCTTTTGGGTTTTTTTTTTGGTGTGTTTGGTTGGTTGGTTTGTTGTTATTTTTTGGGGGGTGAGGGTTTTGTTGGTTTGGTTTGGTTTAGGATTTTTTTCCCATTTGAATCATCAGACCAGTTTAGAGCTGCTTGTTGAAAGATTTTTTTGAGCTTTTTTGCAAACACATTCACAGCAAGTTAAGATTATTTATGTCAGTTTTCTTATACTGTCATTGATTGCCATCGCATCTTGCATACATTGTGATATTACTGTAGTTTGAAAGTACATCAGGCATTTTTGAATAGTCTGTGACTAGCAAATCATGTTGGGAATACTAGAAATTAAAAGAGATTCTTTGAGACTGAATTGCCTCCCTGATAATTCTGTAGATGAAAGATTGTTTGATTAACACTTGTCAGGGATCATGGCAAACAGATCTATGTTTTGTTTGAAAAGTAATTCACTGTGCAGCCTTGCAGACTGCTGTGCTGCCCCAGAGGAAGGGTTAGCAAGGGTTTGACCAATAACTAAAAATCCTGAAAACAGCTGTTTAGCATTGCTTTTTTTAAATGTTAGCAAAAACTCATGAAAAAGGAAGTCTGTTCCCCTGACTGTTGTGGCAGTGTTTGCAGCAGAGTAAAGCCTGTTCTCACAGTAATGTATTAGCTGATACAATTGTATATGGAGGTAAAGCAGAATAAATGTGGGTGTTCCTTTACTTATTTAGCTACTGTAGTGTAATGGTAGTAATATTTCTATTACAACTTCAGAGTGATAATAGTTTTCAAGTGAATGATTCCTACATTTTAGTTGGATATGTACCACAACAAATTGATTCTTTGCCTTGGTCTTACAAAGTTACTCCAAAGCACTCAAAGGCTCTAAACCCGAGAAGTCTTAAGTTGCAAAATTGTCAGTGTGAGTAACAGAAATATGTACTGATGCTTTCACTAATAGTGAGACTTGGCACAGTTACAGATTAGGAATTCTTTACCTGCTGCCCTGGGCTTTTTTTTGGAAAACAAAAAACTAAAAATATTTAATTAGTTTTATCATAGTGTTTGTTACTGTTTGGGATTCCATTATGGCTTTTATGAGTTTGGTTGTTTTTTTTTCCCTAACATTGAAATAAGAGTAATTTTCAAAATCTCTCATAATTTCTGTTTAACTTGAAAAGTATGTTCCAGAGTTCTTCTGGGATTAATCTGTAAACATTGTACTGTGTTGTGGTTCAAAGAGAGTGTTGTCTAACAGCTCATGTCACCCTTCAGGGAGCACAGGAAAGGATAGACAGCTTGCGTCGGGCAGGAGTCATCCATGAGAAACAGCCTGTTGTATCCGTGGAAAACTTCATTGAGGAATTGCTTCCTGACAAGTGAGAACATCAAATATATTGCTGGGGAGTCAGGAATATTCTTTGTTGACTCAGAGGAGTTGGTGTCAGTATCACTCTGAGCAGAAGAAAAGAGATGGTCTGTCTTCAGTTTTGCTTTGGCAGATTTGATTTTGGTGATGATGTTCAGCAATTTGTCCAGACATCTTGAGACTTTTAATATATAAAAATCATTGTCAGGTTTTTCCAGATTCACAGTATAAAAACAACAGTGAAGTTATACCGAACTGAAAAAATTAAGGAGCTGTGAAAGTTGGAATTTGGCTAGTGGTTTGTGCAGTCCTGTGTGCATCCTCTCTTCTCTTTTTCTGAAATTGCATCAGAAGGGATATTGGGAAATACTCTGGGAGGGGCAGAAGTGTTTTTCTGAATAAATCATTTAAGGAGTTGTTATAGCATTAGACATGCCAAAAAATCTTCTGAATATAGAACATGAGTGATAAATACATATATTTTTTAATTGTTAGGGAAGGTTATTTTATTGAGAAATGTTCTTTCAAAGATTGAATGAAAATTATAACATAATAACTATGGCCAAAGGAATGTATCTGCATGCACACCCAACCCCTCAGCTTTTTTTATGTCCTTGATTTGTAAGTTTCATATTTTTTATATATTTCTATGTATATTATGTATTTTACATACATACACATGCGCTATAATGTTATATATGAGAAAACTGATACATACAAACTTTACTTGAAAAATACCAGAACGCTTTGATGAGTCTCATTATGACATTATTACTGCATTTGAAGTAGATTTTGTAAAACGGTCATAATTTAACTGCTAATCTGTTGGTTTTCAGTTGTGTGATACTCAATACTCAGAAATAAAGTAATATGCATGTCATTGCAGGTGGTTTGACATTGGATGTCTGATTATTGAGGATCCAGTTCATGGAATTCACCTGGAAGCATTTACCCAAGCAACACCAGTACCTTTGCAATATGTTCAGCAGGTGAGTTTTCAGTTTTCTTACCAATTAACAGTAAGATTTAAGTCTTAATTTTATTTATGATGTCAATTCTTACTGGCAGTTGCTCCACTTGAATGTTTTCATTTATGAAATGAGGGTAAAAACTGTTTTTGAATCACATTAATGTATTACCTAAAAGTTTTCAGGCATTTATGGCAAAGCATTTCTTGATCAAAGGTGTCATTCTGTGTCACTTTGGAGCACTAGTTTTACTTTCCTGTTAAAAAAGAAGAAATACTGATCAAGAAGAAATCAACCAGAGAGAATTACTTCCTCAAAAAGGAAATACAACAATTCCCTTTGAGCATATAGACTCCCACCTAAACAGCAAGGCCGATTTCCTCTTCTGAGTGTGCTATTCTGACAAGGGTGTAAAATATCTGAAATCAAAAGGCTTCAATCTAGGAAATATCATGGTTCATTTCATTGAAAATAATGTACAGCTCTTAAATATCCCCAATAGAAGGTTTTCATGAGATGGTTTAAGTTTCTCTGGACGCAGGCTGGGAATTACTCCAGTCACTGCATGTCTCCTGACAGCAGATATGAGTCATACATTAATTAACTCTGGTCTGAAAATTTGTTTTAAATAAATGTTTCTATGAAGAATGTAAAACCAAAACTGTTTGGGGTTTGATCCCTGGGGGTTGTTTTGAGAAAACAAATAGTAACTGTTATTTTTTTTTTTCAGTAGTACCCATTTCGATAAGTGAACATTTGTGGGATTGGTTCTTGTTTTCCTGAGTTCTTGCAGCCTTGAAAAGCTGATGAGTGGCAAAACGAGAAATATTGCTCTGTCTCTGTAGTTTTCCAAAATGCTTTTCAAAAACAGTGGAGAAAGACCTGAAGCTACAGGAAAAAATGTTCAAAGGTCCCTTTCAAACCCAAAGTATTCTGCATATTCTGACAAACCTATGCTGTTGTAGTTGCAAGACAGTAGTTTTAGGAAGGGCACAGTACACTAATGCTCTTGATCTGCTGTACATGCACTGGAAATGGACTAATTCAAAATCTGTATGAAGGAGGTGGTTGCCTGTGATGAGCATCAGACCAGAGAAATGCAGTCATGCTTCCCCCACTCTTTCCCTTCTGGTTCCAATTGCAGAATGAGGGCTACAGATGTCATTTACCTGGACTTCTTGACACAGTCCCCCACTCAAAATTAGAGATGGATTCAATGGATGGACTGTTCAGTGGATAAGGAATTGATTGAACAGTCACATCCAGAGGGTCGTGGTCAGTGGCTCAGAGTCCTGATGGACATCAGTGACCAGTGGTGCCCTCAGGGGTCTGTATTGGTACCTATGTGATTTAACATCTTCATTAATGACATGGATGAAGGGACTGAGAGCTCCCTCAGCAGGTTTGCGGGAGACACCAAGCTGATGGTGCAGTGACACACCTGAAGGACCGGGCCATCCAGAGGGACCTGGACAAGCTCCAGAAGTGGCCCTTGGGAATCTCCTGAGGTTTAACAAGGCCGAGGGCTGGTCCTACACCTGTGTTGGGGCACCTCCAGGATCAATCCAGGCTAGGGATGAGCAGATGGAGCAGCGCTGGGGAGAAGAACTTGGGGGTGCTGGTGGGGGAGAGGCTGGACATGGTCCAACACAGAAACCCCCCATGCCCTGGGCTGATCCCACAGCGGAGGCAGCAGGGCAGGGGGGGACTCTGCCCCTCTGCCCCCTCAGGTGAGACCCCACCTGCAGAACTGCCTCCAGCCCTGGGGGCCCAGCACAGCAAGGACATGGAGCTGCTGGAGCAAGTCCAGAGGAGGCACCAAGATGATCAGAGGGATGGAGCAGCTCTGCTGTGAGGAAGGACTGGGAGAGTTGGGATTGTTCAGCCTGGAGAAAAGAAGCTTTGGGGTGACCTAATTGTGGCCTTCCAGGACGTGAAGGGGCTACAAGAAGGATGGAGAGAGTCTATTTACAAAGGCCTGGGGTGACAGGACAGGAAGGAATGGTTTCACACTGACAGGCAGAATGTTTAGCTTAGATAGTAGGAAGAAATTGTTACCTGTGAGGATGGTGAGGCCCTGGCACAGGTTGTCCAGAGAAGCTGAGGCTACCTCATCCCTGGAAGTGTTTAAGGCCAGGTTGGATAGGCTTGGAGCAACCTGGTCTGGTGTAAGGTGTCCCTGCCCACGGCAAGGGAGTTGGAACTACGTGAGCTTTAAGGTCTCTTCCAATCCAAACCATTCTACAATTCTGTGAAATGACACTATATAATCTCTTCGTGATCTCATGCAAATCTCTCAGCCATTCTTTTCTGCCAGGCTCAACTTTCTCCTTGCATTTGGCTACTTGCCTGCTTCAGAGGGACATTTTAATTGTTTTTAAAGCTTTTGGAGGGTATGTATTGTGTAAAAACATACTGTTATTGATTCCATCTATTGGCTACTTTATAAGAGAATGGCAGTATGTCTTTACTCTCTTAAGGTTTGTATTTTAGTTTATACTTTTCAGATGTTGCTTGCATCATGATACATAGAAATCCAAATAATTTGCTTGGCAAATTATGGGGCAATCTGAAATCTGATTCTGATACCCTTTGATTTGCCATGTAAGTCTGTTGATATAAGAATGATCACTTGTGAAAGTTGGTGAAAATAGAAGTAAAACTACTAATTTCAATCTCTCTAAGTAATCCCTTCTCACAATGTTGCACAGGCCAAGAGTCTCACTCCTCAGGACTACAATCTGAGATGGTCAGGCCTGCTGGTGACCTTGGGTGAGGTGCTGGAGAAGAGTGTTGTGAACGTGAACAGGACGGACTGGCATGTGGTGTTCACGGGCATGTCCCGCCGGCAGATGATCTACAGCGCGGCCAAGGCCCTGGCAGGGATGTACAAACAACAGCTGCCACCCACGACCATGTGAGAGTGGCTGGTCTGTCACAGCAAGGAGTACTGGGCTTGGTTCTGGAGCTAATATGAAGGCTACACACTCGCAGTGTATGCAACACAGATTTGTAATCTTAACTCTAAACTGCTTCTACTTTTTAAGAAGCGAAGGTGATTTCTGGTAGTGGAAGTGAACAATTACATTTTTTGGCTATTATATGATTTCCAGTATGATTCACAAGGCAGGAAATTGAGACAAATGCATATATTTATAACTGGTACAAGTAGCATTACAATTTTTCAAGTGTAACATGCTATGATTTGACACCTTACTAGGCATTTGCTGAGATACTTTAGTTAGTATACTTTTGAAAGGGGATATTTGTTTAGCTGTTTCTATTATATTAGTAATATAAACATGTTGACAGCATAACATGTATGTTATATATATGCATTTCAATCCAGAGAGACTACCTTCTGTATTACATGTTATACTGGGGCACGTATTTAGGGGATACTTAAGACCTCATGAGTTTGGTGTCTGTATATAGTTCTCAGGAGTGATGCCAAGTAGTTTCTACAGCACATAACAGTGAGGTGCTGAAGAGCACAAATCCATGCCCTGTTAGCTGAAGTCTTTGCTAAATAGTTCTGAATTCTCATTTTCCATGCTGCATCTTTTTTTCTTTTTTATGTAGCAGTAATGAAATTCGTGGCCAGTTGAAACACCACAGACAAATTTCGAGTTGCTTCAGTGGGTTTTATATCAGGTACCACATATGCCACATGAAATCATCTCAGCAGTTTCAATAACATCGTTTACTCCAATGCTTCCAAACTTCACATTTTATATGGAATTACGTAGTTTATCTAGTTACAGCTGTCAGCAATTTGATTATGGAAAATGGTGATGTGTGTATCACTTGCTTTGCTAGCCTGGGTTTCTTAAACACTTCGGAGTCTTAAATGCTTTCTTGATGTCATGAGCTCACTGTCTCTCATATAAGTTTTTGGTGTGTCTGACGTTTTTCATGGCTGTAAAGGCCCTCCATCAATGCTCATGCAATCTTAAAATCTGTATTTAGAAATATGGAAGTAATTGTGAAGAAAATATTTTGGTAACACTTTTTTAAGAAACAAAGAATAAACGAATACTTTTTGTTTGCCTTAAGCAGTTTTTCAGCTTATATTTCTCTGCCTTTACCTTTATTAGATGCTTTCAAAGAGCATTTTTATATACAATATACTTTTAAGCCAGCTCATGATTGTACCCAGTGGAAATCTATCTATGTCCAAGTATTTGGCCTTAATTGGTTTACTCTGTAAAGTAGTTGAATGGATGTTTTCAGCTTTTTACCATCTGCTGGGTTGTGTTACGGGCAATAATACAAGAGGAAGTTCAACAGGTAAGACATTGACATCCTGTTTTAAATTTATATTGCGATCAGCTTAGAAAAGCAGAGACACATTTGGACATGTGACTTTTATTACATGTACAGACAATTCCCAACTGCTTCATCACTGTAGATACAGCTGCAGAAGCCATTTCTGCTACTTTATGAGGGGGTAGGTTTGTTCGAATATTAGCGTCATGAACAAAAGATCAAGAAAGCTACTACATATACTACTATTATACTACATATGCTACTCTTTTTAGGTGTGTCTCACATAGATGCAGCCAAGTTTTTTGAGTTTGCATTACTTTAAAAGAGATCTACCTGGTCCTTAAACTAAGGTTCTTCAAAATGTTGGAGATCGTTCATTAACTGCACTTGTTGCTGGTTTTTGTACACTTAAGGCAATGGTTCTTTAAGTCCCCTGTGCATTGTACAATGGCAGGGTTTTAACTGTTATTGTGAGAAAGGAGCAGAGCAGTGATAAATTCAGGCTGAACTTTAGAAGGTATGTATAGGCTGATGAGAGGTGGGTGAGCTTTCAGAAATATCAGCACAAGGGTTTTGTATATAGGAAGAATACTGGATTTTTTTTTCTGAGGCTGAAAAATAATTTCAGGACTATATATATACACATGTACGTCTATAAGTACTTTGTAGAACTGACACACCCTCTCTGCAAGATTTGATATATGAATTTTAGGCATGGTGTCACAAGTAGGGATTTTGAAGGAGACTGTGACTGGGTTATTGTTAGAGAAGAGCTGAAAATTTAAGTGTGCAGAAACTGCTTTACTCAAATGAAACTTTTTCTCCTGGACTTCATTTGCACATTCTAATCAGCTTTTTGGTTTAGAAAGTGTACCGTTATCCCAGTTCTTAGGCTGTGCCCTTAGAGATTGACTTTGCAAGCAGCTGTAATGGCTTAAGGTGTTACAGCCCTGTCAGTGGAAGTTTCTGCCCCTGCAGATTTTCTTGTGGAATTAGCTCTGAATGTTAATTATGAGCTGAAGTTACCTGTGACTGCTCTCCCACTCTTGTTTTAACAGCAGCAAACCTGAGTTGAAAAGTTTCTGCTCTGGGCCTGGCCTTAGTTTTTTCATCACAACACTACTCAGAACATTGTGGCTCTGTCAGAAAAATCCTGGTTATGAAGTTCCCCACACAATTTTGTTGAAACTAGTCTGATAACTTCCACCCAGCTACCCCCTCAAGGTTTTCCATGCACATCTGTTGAAGAAGGGACGGGGCATGTGGGGTCTGATGAAGCAACAAATACAGTTTAGTGGAACATGTTGGTCCAAAAACAGAACAGCCTCAATGGCTGCTCATGTACAGAGTACATGAGCAGAGTATTCTCCTTTAATGGAAAGCTTTTAAAATTATCTTCCAATTCCAGTCTTCTTCTTTAGACATCTCAATTGGTCAAGAGAGTGAGGAATGGCAGAAGAGGGCAAAAATAAGAATGAAGTATGAACGGATGTGAAGGCGATCAGGAGAGTACCAGAGAAGTAGGAATGTCTAGTGAGCAGGTACAGAAGCTTAATTGTATTTAATGCAATGTCCTGGATGCAGGAAGTGGTAGAGGGTAGTTGAGAAATCAGGTGGGAATATGGAATAACTTGGGTCTGTCTGCTGCTGTTTATTTTGGCCAAGCTTTAGAAAACCACCACCATATACATGGATATCTTGCAGCAGAGAGGTTTAGCCCAATCGTGATTCAGATTCTTCAGGATATTTGTAAAAGCAGCTTTTCTTTCCCCATAATAGTATAATGTGAGGTAAACATTGCAGATGGAGGTAAGACATTATCCCTGAACAGTTGACTCTGAAACAGAACTCTGTGTGTCTAGTTTACAATTACATTTAATAATTTTGACCAAGCAAATTTAAAAAAATGAAAAAACATTGTTCTTCATTTCCTACTGTTAACAGACACAGGAACAAGTAGTAAATGAGAACATCCTGTATCCCATCAAAAGTTGTTAATAGACTTGAAAATCAGAATAAAATAGCTTCAAACTTGGTTATTTTTCCAATGTGTATTTTAACTTCAACAATTAAGTCTGTCTGTAACTTATCAAAAACTCAAATTTTGACATCCTGAATCCCTGAACCGTTTGGCTTTGACTTCATGGTTCTGTTCCATCCATAGTTACACAATTCAGGAAAAGCTAGTTGCATAAAAGCAATAGTGTATAGAATTACAGTTTCTAAAAGGAAAAAAATGCCAATTGGTTTGATTTATCATCTCATTGTGCAGAATTCTGTCAAAGCCAGCTTATTTTGTAAAGCAGCCAGACTATGACCTGGCAATTAAATTGTGAATACACAGTTTTGCAGAGGAATAACAGATCCAAAACCACTCAGCAGCTTCTTCTGAGCTAACACAGGGATTTGTCATGTACTGGAATCAAAGGAGATGCAGCTCTAAGGTTACAAGCGAAATTAAAATATTTGGTATTGTGTAGCTGTTGGAGGGGTATCTGGGGGGTCACTGCCGGCCGCTCTGTGTAGGTTTTCAGGGCTGGAATCACCCCCCTGCCACCAGTCCCTCGTGGCAGGGACAGGCAGCGGAGGTACCTAAGCCAAGAGACAGAAACCACACAACACGCAGGGAATCCAGCAGCAAAGAAGAGCCTTTATTCAAATTTTCTCGCAGCTTATAAAGGCTGCTGGGCCAAAGAGGGGATTGGCCATTTGGCTTGCCAGTGCAAGGAGACAGTATAATAACTATGGCAACACAGAAACCAATGGTAGGCAAGTGAATTAAGAGCTTCCAAACCCGACAGTATTGAGCAAGTGATTTCCAACTATCTTTGCATTCTATGAGTGTGAGTGAATATGGCACTGGCCTTCTCTGTAAATTAGAGAAGTACCTCATAGTAGAGGAGAAAGCAGATGGGTTGGTTTTGCAAGATTTGGTGGCTATTTTAATGCAAACTTATATGGAATTCTGTGTAAAACCTGGGGTTTTTTGATACTAATCACAAAAACACGCTTCTTGTTAAAGGATACTCCATGACAGGAGTGAATGTAATTTTTTTTTTTTTTAAATATGAATTATAGTGTTGGAAATTGTTGATCACAGCTTTCAAGCATCTTTTATTCTACTTGGTCAGATCAGCATGTATTTGAAAATGCTCAAACTAAAAAATAGCTAATGTAGTAGCTTCTTTGTGAATAATGCAGTGAACCACTCAGTCAAATTCCTCCCTCAGTTTAGTCTTGAATTCCATCAAAAGTTCCCTGAGTTTTAAATGCTTTCACTTGACTTAGTTTGAGTATCTGTATGTTCATGCTTGTGCAGTTCAGTTGGTTCTGCTCGGAATTTTATAGGACAATTTCCCTATAAAACACAGTTCTCCTCTAACAGGATACTGTAGGGAACTTCTTTCTTCTCAGCTCAGAAACAGAAAAAAAGGTATAGCTGTTGCCTTGCTTGTATGCTAAAATTGAATCTATTATGTCTTCTGGTGAGAAAATTAGTAGATAAGAGATAATAGGCTTAATTAAACTTACTTGAATTGCTGTATTTAGCAAACTTGGGATAGGTTGTGAAACCAACAGTATTTAACCACAATGAGAAGCATCCTAATTTATTTTTTCCTCAAGTATCAAACAGAAAGCAGTTCTGTCTGCTTTTAGAATAAAGCACACATGAATGCATATTACTGAGGGATCATTTTCATGATCTAATTCTTACAGTTGCAGGAGCAGCTGTTCCAGGTAAGTGGTGAATATTCTGCAACTTCTTGGAAAAGTGCAGGAAGTTGCATTTTGTATAAGGAATAGTATTTTGATCAGTAGTGGGATTCTGAAATAGCTGTGGCATCAAACAAAAACCAGCAGATTTAGAAAGAATTCCCAAACAGACCAGTTATCCTAAAATCAGTGCTGGTCTTGGGACGTTGTTCTGGGATAAGTGACTACAGTTATGCACATGCAAGGCAGATTCTAGGGGTTTTGTTAAAATGTACTAAAACTAAAAATCAACAAACTTGTGTCTGCAGGGGAAAGAACAGGAGAATTTTTCTTTTTAACATAATAGGAATTACTGTAATCAATAATCACACTGTTACATAGTTCTTTTTGTCTGTAGTTCTCAGAGTATTTGCAAAAAAGCACATCCCAATACTTAGAAGGTCATAAGCATTATAATGAAAACATTTTAACTTCTCTCTGTCCTGTGTAGACTTTTGTATCTGAAGAGCTTATTTTCTTGGACATTGCAAGTCAGTAATACCAGACACGCAAAACCCTAAATTGATAAATATAATAAATTAAAATTATTACTAGGGATAAGATACTTTGATTTTCTCTTTTTTGGAGTGCTACAAATCCCATGAATCTCTGAGGGGAGGTTCTCTTATCACCAGTGACAGCCAAAGTATTAAGTGAGCACCTCTGAAGCACTGTAAACTTGGATGTGAGCTCCCAATTTCTTGTTGTTTTCTGAGTTCTTAAATGCAAGCAAGACAGCAAAAGCTGATTCTGCAGTTGCCAGGCTGACTATAAGTGGATTTTGGAGCTTGTTTCTCATTGCCATTCGCTCTGTAATAATCTGTCCATGGTGGGAGCAGCACCATAGGAAGGTTTAGAAGACTTAGGA